TTATTTGTAGATTAGGTTTGGTAGGCAATATTATTTACTTCTCCTATTCACTTTCTTGTTGAAATTTATTTACTTAGAGCTTTTAGAAAATCTATTTAAAAGGCTCTGCTCCTATTGTATTAGTTGGTTGATTTTGATTGAATAAAAATATATTTGATTGTTTTCACTCAAATCTCTCTTGAGTTTACTTTTTCGCTATGTTACTTGGTTTCAATAGGCCAGTACGATTCCTACACTATGCTGCCCAGGAGGAATGACGCGAAGATCGCAATGTTGGGACGATAGTTTGAATCGTTGTCAACAGTGGTCGAAGAAATCCGCATGGTGCTGGTCGCTTCTGGCCATGACGAGCATCACCGTGGGGATGGCGCCGCACGCGGTTGGCTTGGAGTTGCTCGAGGAGATCACGGTCGGGGATTACGCGGGGCGCCCCGCTCCCGTTCGTCTCATTCTTGCTTCGCAGACGATGATCTGGAAGAAACAATCTCTTGTGACAATCCGTTCGGGGCATATTAGACGCGCACGAGGCGAAGTGAGGGGCCGACAACCGGTGGTGGGAGGCGAGTTGATATTCCTGACTTCACAGGAAGTCTCGACGTGGCCGATTTTTTTTATTAGCTGTGCGCGGACGAGAATGTGCACAATTTTAATGAGGTGATGAAGGCCCGACAGGTGGTGCTGTTTTCGACTCGGCTGCGTGGATGTGCGGCCGTCGAGTGGCAGTAGTTCAAGTCGGCTAGACAACGACAAGGTAAGCCCAAAATTGAGATTTTATGAAATTTTGTAAGCACAAGGAGCGTGATTGTTTGCCCTATAATTATGTCTGCACGGTTTATCAACAGTTGAAATATCTTCATCAAGGGACGCACTCGATTAGTGATTAAATTGAAGAATCTTATCAACTTTTTACGCGCGTTGAAGTGCGCAAAACAACGAACCAGCTAGTGTCCCGATATATTGGCAGCTTTTGTGTCTCCATTCAGGATACGTTGAATTTGTTTGTTCTGAACTCCATATAGGGTTTGAATCAGCGCACGCTTTTTGTCGAGCAGCAATTGGCGCGGCGAGCGACAGTGTCCTTTGTCCCTGCAGCGCGATCCGTCAAGAGTACCCTGACGGGTGTAGCCTTTGGCCGTACGGCGACTGTCGCACAAGCGGTAGATGTGAAGCCCACTTGTGCACTTTGCTTCCTTTCCTGTGGAGACCCTAGCCACCATAAGACAACCTGTCTGAAGGCATGAGTCTCTCGAGGAGGAGGAACACGTGTCCGGCGACATCACTCTTACAATTGTTCATCGTTGTTCTTGTTTGTCACAACATTCGTTGTCCGACGATGCCATTCAGCACCACCTTATATTTGAGTCCACTTGCACTGTGGGCGGGCGAGTTTTTCGCTTTATCCATGACTTTGGCTCCTGCAAGAATGTGGTAGCAATTGAGGCCGTCGCGAAGCTTCATCTGGTGAGTGAGCCTCATCTTCAGCCCTATACACTTGAATGGATTCAGCGGGGCAGTTCCATTATGGTAGGCCGTCGTGTTTTGGTCTCTTCTTACATTGGTGCCAAGTATAACGATGCGGTTTCGTGTGACGTGGTGCCTATGGACGCCTGACATCTTCCGTTAGGAAACTCGTGGCATTTTGATTGCTCGATGGTGCATGATGGTAGCCTTAATACATACAATTTTCCCTTCAACGACATCATCATTATTCTTCATCCATCGCCACCTCGTTTGTTTTTTTCCCTTCCGACATAATCGACACCTTCGCCTGTTTTATTCCTCTCCCACGTGGCATTTGTTCGTGAGATACATGTGGCCCCATTTGTCATTCTTCTCACAGGCACGGATTCGGCAAGGGATGTTTCTCCTCTGGAGGTGGTTTGTCTGTTGCTTGAGGAGTTTGCAGATTTCTTTATGAAGGATCTGCCGAGCGGCTTGCTACCATTACGAGATATTCACCATCAGATTTACTTGGTGTTGTGTGCTTCTCTATTTAACCATCTGCACTATCAGATGAGCCCTACGGAGCATGAGGAACTATGTCGACAGGTGGAGGAGCTTTTGCAGCATGGGGGTGATTCTGCAGAGCTTATATCCTTGCTTTGTGCCCTCTTTGCTCATTCCTAAGTAGGATAGTTCCTGGCGCATGTATGTCTATGGCCGCGCTACCAACAAAATTATGGTGCGGTACTGTTTTCTACTCCTCGCTTGGATGATTCACTGGATTAGCTGCACGGGGCTTCGGTTTTTACCGAGTTAGACCTCTGTAGTGGCTATCATCAGATTCACATTCGACCGGGGGACGAGTGGAAGACGGCGTTCAAGATTCGCGAGGGGCTTTTTGAGTGGTTGGTGATGCCCTTCAGATTGTCCAATGCACCCAACACTTTTATGCGTGTCATGAGCCAGGCATTGCATGATCTCATTGAGAAGTCTGTTGTTATCTATTTTGATGATATCTTTATCTATAGTTGCTCGATTGAGGAGCATTTGCTTCATGTCCGCTCGGTGCTACTCATTTTCGCTTGGAGGTTTTTCTTGCGGCCCCGAAGAAGTGCTTCTTTTTGGTGGACTCCGTCTTGTTTCTTGCTTTTGTGATCTCGGCGGACGGGATTCGTTTTGACAACAAGAAGGTGGAGACAATTCGAGATTGGCCGAAGTCCACCTCGTTTGCTAAGGTGCGTAGCTTCCATGGCCTCGACTCTTTTTACCGATGTTTTATCTCCCATTTCATTTCCATCATGGCACCTATTACGAATTGTCTTACTGGCAACACCTTTGTTTAAGGACGCCCCAGGCTGTTGACGCTTTTATTGTTATAAAGAGTAAGTTGACCTTGACTCTTGCTCTAGTTCTGCTGGATTTTTCGCGCCCATTTGAGTTGTCTTGTGACGTAGCGAAGGCGGGGATCGACGCGGTTTTCAGCCATGAGGCGCGGCCCGTCCCCTTCTTCAGTTAGAAGTTTACAGGTCCGCGCTTGCGGTACAATCTGTACGATGTGGAGTTTTATGTTGTGGTTTGTGTCGTTCGTTATTGGCGTTACTATTTTTTCCATCAGGAATTCGTCCTCTACACGAATAATGAGGTGTTGCACCACCTTGCTTCTAAGGATAACATCTCGGTCTGTCAGGCATCGTGGACGTCCTTTTTGCAGTAGTTCACGTTCCTCCTTAAGCATCGCTCGGGGGTGTCTAATCGTGTGGCGGATGCTCTGAGTTGGTGCACCTTTATTTTGACTGATTTTCGGGTGATAGTGATGGGTTTTGATTTGCTGCGGGAGTTGTATGCAATTAATTGTATTTTTCAGTCCAGTCGTGGTGCATCTTTCTTTCGTCCCCTTAGAGGACTGCTTCTTGAGTGATGGATTTATTTTTAAGAGTGTGTGCATGTGTGTTCCGGACTATAGACTTCGTCTCAGGTTTGTTGGAGATCTTCATGGGGCGGGCCATGTGGGTCGGGATCGCTCCGTGGAATTAGTGCAGGTTTTGTTTTTCTGGCCTTCTTTATGCTGCAATGTCACGCGTTATGTTGAGCGCTGCCGCGTCTACCAGGTTTCGAAGGGTGTGGCGTCTAACACCAGTCTCTATCGTCCTTTGTCTGTTCCCACGCAATCGTGGTTTGCGATTAGCTTGGATTTGATTCTCGGATTGACGCACAAATGGAGGGGCCATGACTAGATTTTTGTGGTGGTGGATCGCTTCCCAGAGATGGTCTATTTTATCTTCTGCAAGCGCACAACTGGTGTCGTTCGTGTGGTGCAGCTGTTCTTTCGAAAGGTCTATCCGCTTGCACAGTTTGCCATACTTTATTGTGTCTGATGGGGACACTCGTTTCTTCAGTTTCTTTTGACTTAGCTTGTGGCTCCAAGATAATACTCGTCTCGATTTTAGCAGTTCGTATCACCTACAGAAAGACAACCAAACTGAGGTTGTCAACTAGTCTCTCGACAATTCGTTGCCTTGCTTGGTTGGCGACAATTTGCGGAGTTGGGATCTTCGGATCAGTCAGACCGAGTTGTACATAACTCGGCCATTAGTCGGGCTACTCAATTTTCTCCTTTCCAGGTGGTCTATTCGGTCCAGCTCCGTGGCACGATGGACTTGGTGGCCTTGTCGACGCCCGATCACATGGAAAGGAGAATGGAGGAGTTCATGGCAGACTTGCGTCATACTCATCAGACGGCTCGCACGAACTTGAAGGAGACGACCGCGTCGTACAAGCGACAGACGGATGCTCGTCGGCATCATGTTGAGTTTCAGGCCGGTGATTTTGTTTGCACTGTGTTGAGGAAGGATCGGTTTTCTACATATGATCGTCCCAATGGAGATAGTGGAGAAAATCAATCTGAGTGCCTACCGCCTCCGTTTGCCTTCTCCCATTTGCACGTCTGATGTCTTCAATGTTAAGCATTTAGTCTGATTTTACGATGATAATTCGGACAAAGACGAGATTGCGTTGGCCTTTTTAGACAAACATGTCGTCTACCATTATTAATTTAATTAATTATTATTTTTTATTTTTATTATTATTTGCATATTAGATTTGGTAGGCAATATTATTTATTTCTCCTATTCATTTTTTGTTAAGCTAGTTATTTACTTAGGGCTTTTAGAAGTCCTATTTAAAAGACTCTCCTCTTATTGTTCTAGTTATTGATTTTGATTGAAATTCTTTTAAATCCTTCTTGCTTTTTTACGCTTTGGCTAAAGATTGTTATTCATTTAAACATTGTTTCTTGATCTATTCCTGAATTCGATTTCTCAAATGATGTATATAATTTAGACTGTTGATCCTACGTGGTACAATCAGTGCATGTTATATATAGCTTGTTCCTTTTGATAAGGGATTCGGAAACCGGAAGGTTCATTGTACCAAAAAAAAAAAAGTAATGGTGTCCGTGATACATATTTGATTCTCACTAGCTTGGACATAATTTCGTTTCAATATATATATTTCTATACTTTGTATGAAACGGTATGTATTGCGCCACATCCACCATATTTCCATCAATTAATGCTATAATTGGTGATGTAATAAAAAAACGCTGTCCTTAGTAGTTGGCGTGCAAGTTGCCTAATTACTTTCCATTAATCACAGATTGTTGGTGACCTGAGGCTAATTAATCATTTTACAGATTAATCCGTAATACATTCTTTGTAAAAGTATATATTATTATTAAAAATATTTTTGTTTACGTTTGTTTATTAAAATAGGACAACATTTAGTAAGGGCGTGCTTGTTTATGAAATATTTCATTCAAAATGAGTTATTTTAGTTAACTAGAGTTAATTTTGAAAAAGATAGTATGGTTAATTGTTAGTGGGATTTTAAGAATGTATTAAAATAATATTTAAAATAAAATAATTAAAATTGATTTGATGTAAAAGTAAGAGATAAATAATTGAAAATGATTAGAAATGATAGGTAGTTAAAATTATGTGAGTAGGTAAATAGTGAATTAAAATTGATGTAATGTGTAAGAATGATTGGTTTGTATTATTTAATTATATGAATAATATTAAAGATTATGGGATTGGGTTAAAGTTGAATTAGATTTTGAGTATGAATTGAATTGAAAATGAAATAATTTGTAAACAAGCATGCCCTAAAATTACGGATATATATTAGTGTAATAACTTATAGCTAGATTACCCTAATACAATTACTACCAATTAGGCTAAATCGTAAAATATAGCCAGTATCTTGTACGCGGTGGCAATAATAGTCACCATCTTTACGAATTGGCAATATTAGCCAACAACTTTCAAAATTTCGAGATTATTACTCAAATCCAACCAAATTCGACAAATAAATTGCAAAATATAGCCAGTATCTTTTTACGCAGTCACAACACTAGCCATCGAATTTGGTCGGACATGGGTAATAACTATAAAATTTTGAAAATTGTTGGCTAATATTGCTAATTCGTAAAGATGGTGGCTAATATTGCCACTGCGTACAAGATACTGACAATATTTTGCAATTAAACCCTACCAATTATTTATTTGTCATTCTGTGTTTTGATATAAATCATGTGAGTCTAAGCTTTCAATTCAAATTAAGTTCTTAATTCTTATACTGCTAAGATTGGATCATATAATTACTTTTAATGTGGACGCTTATCATCAGAGTCCGAAGGAGACCACGAGACTACTGAGTTTACGCGTTTGCCTAAAAAAGCAACTATAGTCGTGGTTTTATAAGACAATCATTACATTGTAAATTCAAATTATGCATCGTATACTCAATCATTAACTAATGCAAGAGTTCTGGAAGAATACAATTCTTAACTAATACAAGAGCTTTGAAAGAACAATTTGTTTATTTTGTGCTTTATTAATTTTATTTTATGTATTTTAAAAAAAAAATTATGGGGCGAATTTTCACTCCTTACTTTTCTATAATAATATCCTTTCATGGAATGGCTTACTTGTATGATGTATGAGATGGATTTTCTAATGTCAATTTCTAACTTATTCATGTATAAGAGCTAGCATTCATAATGTGTTAGGTTAAATTTTATTTATGTCATATAAATGTACTTCAGTTTTTGACAATATATGAATAGAGCTAAAGTAAGAAACAAAAACAAAATCATTCTAATACAAATAAATCAAGTTTCTGCAACCACATGCCAAAGTATAGTTTAGTATAAAATAAGTCTCTTTTGTTACTGCCACAACATATAGATCCACGTTCAAATGCATTAAAAACCAT